AATCTACCCAATGCTCAATTTATTTGAAATTATCAGATCAAACCTTGGTAATGACATCTGCTCCACAGAACCTGTTTAAATATGGTAGATATTATGTTCACTTTATTGAAAAATGTGTATTACTGCAATTCTGAAGAAACTCGATATGGTTTCTTCATAACATTTATGTACCAATTAGCTGTTCGTGAATAATGATGGTAATAGAGTTGCTGGACACACCTCCAGCTGAATGCACCAGATCACGATCCCATGCGCGCACAGTGAATCGTTCACAACAACTAGCCAGTTTGGGTTACATGCACATATACAATTTGATCACTTTTTAAATACATCTTCAATACACTTCATCTATGAATTCTGGTCTAGTTGATTTTGGAATCCACGTTAAAAAGACTCTTCACACAATAAACTTACCGAGCACTATGTATACGTGACATCCTTAGACACTTCTATTGAGGAACTATTTCGACTGTATGGATAGTCTATAACAAGGTGTAAGTGAGCCTTAATGCACTTTGTTGAATGAAAGATATGGGCGCTGGTGAAATGCGTATTTTGTTTCATTTTCACACAGAACATCACCAAACTACGTTACCGCAATGAAGCAAACAAAAGTTCGGTACAAACTGCATTTAGGATATGTATATTCCAAATGAGTTTGAGTTGGATGGTGGACAAGTAGTAAAGGCATGAAGCATTTGGTAATACGCCGACTAGATGAAGAGTAAGGTGACTCAGTAAAGTGTTTGTTCCAGTTGTTGATCCCTTTTCACATTGCTTGAGCTTGGTTTCGATTCAAGATACGACACCCTCGAGTGTGCTCATTGATTTCTCTTTGACTTAAATACTTGTGGCTAATAGAGTATGTATCGAATAATCCTGACAAATACTGTGACATGCTGTAGTTACTATGAAACAAGTTGTTAAACAATCAGACATTAATTCTCTGAAGGCTTCTTCGAACGAGAGAAAAATAAGGAGAATTCAGCAAAAATTCCCTTTTCGTGGTGCGTAGACTAAGCGACTCACATATCCACTAATATGAAAGCAGTCATAGTTAAAAAGAAATAATTGGTAAGATCAAAATACGACTAAAAAAGAATACGTGAATTGGTCTTTTCAGGTGCCAGAATAACCCGTGTGTGCTTGACGCTGTGCCATATACCAAAATTTGGAAGATATGAAGATATGAAAAGTGTAAAGGTCATAACAATAATTGAGTAATAATCATGAAACATTGGTGAAGGACAATGATTCGTAATCTGGTGCATATCCAGAGGATGTATCAAGAGCGATGAAATTTCGCCTTATTTTCTTGCGCTCAAAGATGCGTATGACCTGCCCTCTTGTTGTACTGCCTATTTAAAATTTTGACATACAACTCACTTTAAAGAGGGCAATAATCTGACTTACAAAGTCAGTGTTTCTTCAAGGTGATGCAGTTGTGCGAATTCATTAACTCATTCTAGTAGACATTCTATAATTATTATTGGGAAATTAGGTGGGGGTATTGGTTCAGTTTTGGAGAAGGGGGTGTGACAAGTTATATACGCCACATGCATACAAACCGTTACTGAGTTAGGTTATTCAGGGGCTCAGAACGAAGCGTTAGTCGTATTTTGAGCTGTTAAATAACTCAGTAAATATTTGTTTGGAATGAAATCAGTCGTTGTTACATACCATAAAAAGTCAAAGTTTATTTACGATCTTTGGAAATCCTTAACACAATCCTTCTCTGCTGTGGTTTACCGATGTAGCACTACGCTATGTTCTTATAAATTTATAGTCCAACACATAAGAGTCAAACGAATTGAAAATGCGGACCACACTGATGATGGCACAGGTATTCAGAGTTTGGCAGCGCTTTTACCAGAAACACCTAATATAATTCGTACCCACCAAGAGATATCAAAAGACAGAGTCGAGGAGATCAGAAGAGTGTATTTGGCAATAACCAATATATCGGAATTCTCTGATCTAATCTGGCTGGCGATTGTGGTAGATGTTGAGCACAGCGTTACCACACGTGGTTTGGTGTGGATGCATGACCGAGCGCCCTCAGCTAGATGAGTCCACTAAAACATATGGTCAGCATTCAATGTTGAAAACTTACAGAGCTATTTATTTTGAGGATTTATTTACCGCTACAACATATTTCGACAGTTATGCAAAGACAAACCTGTCGATACCTAAAGTTGTTTGTTGGTTCAACCTTTGCTTGTATGCCGTCCAGATCTTGTTAGAGAAACGCATCAAAACTTTGGGTGTATACCGAGCGCTATGTGAGAAGGTTTAAATGGTAATCTGTAACGCAGATTTCTTGTCTAATTTGTGAGGAGGTATGAATTATTCACTGCTCATTATATTGTTTTCCATTTAAATGTTCGTGTTGTTACTCCACCTTTGTTACTTAAGTTTGTGCTCGACTATCTCCACAGCAGACACTTAAATGTTAAAAAAAATAAAATTTTAGACAAGGGTCACATGTTGGTGATCAGAGACATGTCGCAGGGGAGGAAATTATGAAAGCTATGATCTTTCCATATGGACTGAATGATAAGGAAATCATACAACTTATTTTGGTTCATATACTGACCAACGTTATGTACTTGTCTTCAAATTATTCCCTTTTGAGTCGTTGTATGTATTACATTTACTTTAAACCGTTTGAATTTAACAATTATTTTAACCGCCCTTAACATTTTCCACAAAACTCACCATAGTTATTACTGCTATGGGTATTTGGGTTTATAAATTGTGCTAGCGTATTAGTTGTCTAAAATGACGTTTAACATAGTTAAGATAATAAAGTCGCCGCATTGAAATAGCATCGCAATATGATTGGTAAAACTGACGAAACTACTAACAAAACGGTCAAAAAGAGACTTGTACTTGTCATAAAATAGTGTTGTTTTCTCGTGGCCATCTTTACTTATTACTTATGGTTTCAGTACGCTTCTCTACCCCAAACACTGACCAAGGTTCAACCCATTATCATAGACATGAGTTGGGCGTTGCACTCCCCTTGATTACAACTTGTGCTCTCCCTGATAATCACATGAATATCACTCACTGTTTATCGTTTTGTAAAGAATTATTTAACTGAAAGCATCTTACAATACCACATTACGTATATTTGTGGCACATAAGCTTAGTTGATCTCAAAACCTTACAACCACTCAATGTCATACAAGTAAATCTCTATATTATCTCGAACTTGATACTTCCTACTGACATGTATACGCTATCAAACAGTATGTCTGAATATAAATAATTAATCTATTGCACACCAAAGTATTGAGTTTAGAACATGGCTCTCGCAGATCCACGCATGATTAACGAATTACTGTCAGCCATCTGTCCGAAATTCATGTGGTTATCAATATTTTCACGTATTAGGATTTTTGATAACAGTTCATATGTATTAGTGGTACTCATAAATCCTATAACGGTTAAGCAATAATAAGTTCGAAAAAATCTCCCCACAGAGGGGAATCAACTCGTACGGGCAGCATTAAAGCATAAACATCAACTGACTTTCTAATACAAACCAAGGATAATAATACTGACAACATTTGCACAGTATTGATTGCTTTTCTTATTTATGCACGTCAAATACTTGAACTACCTATATGTTAAGCTCTTAACCAACTGTGATTGCTACACATCGAAACGTGACTTGTTAAAATATCTCTGTACTAAGCCATTCTCTGTTATGATGATCCCTCTTTGTTTAGCACTCAAATAATCTTCACGAAGATTTATATTTTTCGCGCAATAATAATTAAATCGAAGATTTTCGAAAATACTGCGTTACTGATGCCTTCTGTTTTCATTTATTTTTTTGGGTTATCTGAAGGATTTCAATTACTCATTTGCTAATCTCCGACGTGAGACAACCCCACTTGATTTGGTATTGGACCAATGTCACGTTGATTCTGGTAAGAGAGTAGCGTAATTGTATTGGTTTCCAACCACACGATCTTCAAAGCTGAGCGTATAATTACTAAGGAGATTTACATCTAACATGTAACACTTAGAGGAGGTAGGTAATTGTAAAGGTGAGAACAATAAATCAGCATGGTATAGCTCAGCCTCACAGGCATAGTCATTTAGTGTATACCACACCTTTCTACATTAAATATATCGTTCTATCTTCAGCTAAAGTGTCCTTCCTATGTACATCATACTGCTGATTGTCATGATGCGACAAGTCGGTGTACATAATAATGTGACTTCCACGTAAAATCTTATAGATTAGGTAGTCACATCATTACAAATCTGCAATGTTGGGGTGAGGTCTATTATTAGAGTGGCACTAAAACCGAACTAGACCGTAATTCTACAGCAACACTTAATGACCCGGCTGGCAAAAGGTAACCATTCTCTTTGTCTAGTATCCGTTTGAACCCATAAGGTTGTAGTTAAGTATGCCACAGATATTCAGACTGGACGACGCCTTTGGCTGTAACACCTCTAAAGATACCAATGCAGTCAAATGAAAATTCGGCAATGAATGAGTTTACAGGCTTTGATTACTGTCAAAGTTTAGTCAGTGAACAAGGATAAAGCACTAAGGTTTCTGAAAGATAAATTATAACTACTATCGTTTTAAAGAATTTAAACAATAATACAGAAATACGTTCTTAATACCATAATGTTTCACTCACATTTGTAAATTCACACTAGCAATATTTTTGTGCGATATCAATGGTTAGCATAGTGATTTTGCATACTGACTAGAGGCTAATCAATTCAGTGTATATTATACTTCATATCAAGTATCATGAGCTTTATGAACTATTTGTAACTTTTGAAATACAGCTGGTGTCGTAACTTATCGGTATAAAAGACAATACTTATTAGTATGATGTAATGTATGTTGGATTCGAGTTTCACCAAAGACACTCATTAAAATACAGTTAATTTTTAGCTTCTAAGTTCAAAAAAGTATGAACTCATCATTCTAGACTACATTACAACGGAACAATAAATGCAAATTGATGTATATATGAGTATATATTTATGTAGATGTATTTTAATATATATTCATACGGACTGAGCTACAAAAAATATACTCCTGTAAACAACCAAAATGAAGTTGAAAATTAGTGATGGTAGAAATAAATTTTCATTCAGAGGAATTTTCTTTAAGCATTGCAACAAACTCTGAAAAATGAATTTAGAGACGAAAACAAATAGTTAGTAACGGAAACAATAAGATCCAGCTTCAGCTACTAATTAAACTCGGAGTGAACTTACACTGTACTCTGTTTTATCTTTGAATAGCTTAGTATTATGGCGTTTAAAATGCACTTATTACTCCATATTGAAAAAAAGCCCTTTTTAAAGTCCTGTCTTGTTAATGGTAGCAGAAAACACTTAAAAACGAAGAGGTTTTACTGTTAAAGACAAATGTTACTGGTGCCAGGCTGATGGAATCATCTGTCCTCAACTACCGTCAGAGATCTACCAGGACAATTGAGGTTGAGATGCCACACTCATCACATTCAGCTCTGCCAGAGTTCTGGAGCCATTCCAGAAAACCACTTTATCTGCACTATTACGTTACGGAGATATTGGAAAATGTAAGGTAGTACAAAAAATCATCTGGGTAATTCATCATTGAGTTATGTAAATCGAAGTGACCAACTATTCACGATATTTAGAAGGAATAATGTTCTTCAAAGGTTTTGGAATTCGGTTTTCAATTAAACGTTAAAAACCCAGGTGCCAGACGAACCACCAATTTAATACACTTACGTACGTGCGTTACGTACGCCTGTTACTCTCAATGGAGCATAGGCCGCTGACCAGCATTCTCCAACCCACTCTGTCCTAGGCCTTCTTTTCTAGTTCCATCCAATTCTTGTTCATTTTCTTCATGTCTATCTCCATTTCCCGGCGTAATGTGTTCTTTGGTCTTCCTCTTTTCCTTTGACCCTCAGGATTCCATGTGAGGGCTTGTCTTGTGACGCAGTTGGGTGCTTTCCTCAATGTGTGTCTTATCCACTTCCAGCGCTTCTTCCTGATTTCTACCTCTTCTGGGATCTGGTTTGTTCTCTCCCACAGTACGTTGTTGCTAATAGTGTCTGGCCAACGGATCCGGAGTATTTTGCCTAGACAACTGTTAATAAACACCTGTATCTTCTGAATGATGGCTTTCGTAGTCCTTCAGGTTTCCGCTCCATACACTAGAACTGTCTTGACATATGTATTGAAAATCCTGACCTTAGTGTTGGTTGGCAGACAGTTGTTTTGAGTTCCAGATGTTCCTCAGTTTTAGATATGCTGCTCTTGCTTTGCCGATCCGCGCCTTCATATCTGCATCAGATCCACCGTGTTTATCATTGATGCTGCCCAAATATGTAAATGTTTTTACATCTTCCAAATTTTCTCCGTCAATTGTGATTGGATTGGTGCATGCTGTGTTGTATCGGAGAATCCTGCTTTTCCCTTTGTGTATATTGAGACCTATTGCTGCTGAGGCTGCTGCCACACTGTTCGTCTTCTCCTGCATTTGTTGTTGTGTTTGGGATAGAAGGGCCAGATCGTCTGCGAAGTCTAGATCATCCAACTGCATCTTAGATGTCCATTGTATCCCGCGTTTCCCCTCAGACGTTGACGTCTTCATGATCCAGTCGATCACCAGGAGAAAGAGAAAGGTTGAGAGTAAGCAACCTTGCCTAACACCGGTCTTCACTTTGAACGACTTTGTCAATTGTCCTCCATGCACGATTTTGCAGTGTAATCCATCATATGAATTCTGTATGATATTGACTATCTTCTGAGGCACGCCGTAGTGTCGAAGAAGTTTCCATAGTGTTGTTCTGTCCACGCTGTCAAATGCCTTTTCGTAGTCAATGAAGTTGATGTAGAGTGATGAATTCCATTCAATTGATTGTTCCACAATGATCCGTAGAGTTGCGATTTGATCTGTACACGATCTATCCTAACGAAATCCTGCCTGTTGGTCACGAAGTTGGGCGTCTACGGAGTCCTTCATCCTGTTTAACAATACCCTGTTGAAGACTTTTCCCGGTATTGAGAGAAGAGTGATGCCCCTGTAGTTATCACACTTGCTGAGATCGCCTTTCTCCGGTATTTTGATTTGAAGTCCTTCTTTCCAGTCTGTTGGTACTTGTTCCTGGTCGTTCTGGTTTGCGGCGATTTCCAGAGAGTTTTTTTGTCGTGTCATACAATTGTCTCATGTTTCCTTCTCTTGCAGCCTTTTCCGCCGTCGTTGCTAAATCTTCCACATATTTACGTTTGTCGGTTCTGATGCTCCTCTTCACTTGTTTGTCTACTTCTGTGTATTCAGCTTGTGCCTTGGCTTTTTCTGCTCTTGTTCGGCTGGTATTGATTGCTGCCTTCTTGTTTCTTCTTTCTTGGATCTTATCCAGTCTACCAACAGTGATCCATTCCTTGTGGTGGTGCTTCTTGTGACCCAGGACCTCATGACATGTTGAAGTGATTGCCTCTTTGATCCCCTTCCAGTTGCTCTCCACAGTAGTTCCTTCTCCATTGAGTAGATCATGAAAGGCCTGGAACTTGTTGCTGAGGACTATCTTGAATTTATTGAGTTTGTTAGTATCCTGGAGAAAGGCCGTATTGAACTTTTGTGATACTGTCTGCCCCGTTGTCCAGTGCTTCTTGAGTTTCAATTTCATCTTGGCGACCAGTAAGTGATGATCTGATGCCATATCAGCTCCTCTCTTGGTTCTCACGTCCTCTATAGTCCTCCTGAACGTTTTGTTGATGCAAATATGGTCGATTTGGTTTTGTGTAGTGTGATCCGGTGAAGTCCATATGGTTTTGTGTATGCGTTTATGTGGGAATATGGTGCCGCCTATGACCAGTTTATTGAAGGCACATAGGTTTGCAAATCTCTCACCATTTCTGTTTCTTTCTCCCAGTCCGTGTCGTCCCATGATGTCTTCATATCCAGTGTTGTCCGTTCCAACCTTGGCGTTGAAATCTCCCATCAGAATGGTCAGGTCCTTTGTTGGGCACTTCTCTACGATTGACTGCAGCCTATTGTAGAATTGATCTTTAGCGTCTTCATTGTAGTCGTTGGTAGGCGCATAGCATTGGATGATGTTCATTGAAATGCCCTCTTTCTTTGTTTTGAACGAGGCTTTGATGATCCTTAGTCCATGAGATTCCCATTCTATAAGTGCATTTTGTGCTTGTTTGGACAGCATCAATGCAACTCCTTGTGTATGTGGTGCAATTTGATCTTCATGGCCGGAGTATAACAGGAGCTCTCCTGTAGTTAGTCGTTGTTGTCCAACTTGTGTCCAATGTGTTTCACTGATCCCAAGTACCTCTAGGTTGTTTCTTCTCATTTCTGCAGCAATTTGGAAGGCTCTTCCGGTGTCCCACATTGTACGAACATTCCATGTACCTAAATAAATGGTTGCTCTGGTTGTCAGAAGGGGCATCGGCCTCGTAACTTCTGAAGGAATTCGGCTTTCATCATGAGGCGTCATAATTCTTCTAAATGAAGACCTTCTGACTCCCAGGGCAGAGTTTAAAAGGTTTGAATAATTTTTTCTGGTTAGCGTTTTTTTAGCGAGTTAGTTTTCTACGGGATGGGAACGCTAACCCCATGCCCAACCCTCCTCCTTTATCCGGGCTTGGGACCGGCAGTAGCCCCCGGAGGGACTCCAGGCGGATTTACTTCGGTTTACTATCAGACTATAATTATAGCTAGTCATTCGAATATTTTGTCACAACTATGATTATATGGATAGTGATCTATCGAAGAAAGCAAAATTTAATTGGTCAATGAGTGAATGTAGCTATATTTATCTAAACTAAATAAAAGGTACTCTGACTTGCAATAATTCATTTGGATTTCCTCTGTGTTAACTGCTTATAATTTATACTAATAAATCATAGTTTTGGCCCACAGTCTGGTTATCAGTCATTGATTGTACTTTAAGTATCTAAGACTTAGTTATATTGTATAGTGATCTATCTAGTGATTTTACTACGTATTATCTAGTATCAATTCCTATGGGTTGTACTGGTTGCATTATCTGGTATCTAATATATAATCTTCAAAAAGGTGAGATCGTTGAACAAAATATCATTTTCTTTCATTACATCAGATAGGAACAATAATAGGTATAGAATATGAACTTATGGCAAAACAATAAAAAACTTTTAAACATGTGTACTTCTTCTGACCTTCATATGTAACTTTACCATCGCCATCTTGATCAGCTTCAGACAGCATTTCTTGAACCTCTATTTCTAAAACCCAGAAAGAAAGAGATTATTAAACAAAATCATCTAAATTAAAATGATTGGTTTTTGTGAGTTCATATTGGTTCATTTCACTTATCAATTAATTAGAAATTGAACAGTAATGGACAAAAGTGTTGGGTATTATTTTATGATTCTGTGAGAACTGTGACTAGTTGGGATGAATCTCATATAGAGTCGAAGTTATGTGATATAGTATAGAATAAATTAAGCCCGATTAAATGGTTCGTGAATAACCTAAAAACCTGTTTAATATTTTTAACTGGTCGTATATAAGTTATGTTATATTGTTAAAAAAGAAAACGATTCCCTCTACTGATGAACTGTTCTGGCTTTCGAAACCACTTATATGGAGGAGGGATCGTTTACAATAGTGTGGATTGCTGAGTAATAGCTGATAACAGCTTTATTCAATACCATAAATTTTGATATGGTAGGAAACTCTCATCATCATTTCTGTTTGACATAGGTTCTAACTGTAATTACTTAGAAAGCGTATTTCGTAAATGTTCTCGAATATCTTCATCTAACATTCATCTTCAGTCACGAAAGTTTTATTTTACCAATTCAGTGATCACAATTAGTTTTTCCATTCATCACACATAAGATGAGCAAATTCCAATGTATTTGCATCTTGTTTTTTTCTTGAAAAAGGATAGATAAGAAGGAAACTCTACTAATAACTCGAGTGTTTCCGTTTAGATTTTCCAGCTTTTAATATCGGAATAATTTGTGCGCTAGTTAACAACTTAAGGCTGTCTATAAATTCAGCATTTATAATTATTCACTTCAAACAATTCTAGAAATCGTAATATTTGGACAATTTACATGTGTCTGCCAAAGCAGTTACATTGGTAGAACAGAAAAGAGAGCCTACGTCCGATTCAAAGAACATATTCCGAAAAGTTTAAGGTTAAATGGATTAAAAGCATCCATTAGTGCCATCGCAAGACATCTCCTTGACACAGGACATGAAATCGATATACTGAAGTCCTTCAAGGTGATTAACAAACAATCAAACTCCAACCTCTTGAAATTTGCCGAAGCATTAGCAATCAAACATCTAAAACCAGACCTATGTATACAAAAAGAGACAGTAATAGATCTTTCTTTACCCTGGTAACAATAACCCCCCCTTTTTATTCATTTATTTCTATTTATTTATTGCGTCATTATTGCAACTCTTTCTGAAGTTTAAATTACATCATACATAACTGATTGATTTCAATTCATATTTTCTTTATTATCATTAATCTGTTTTCATGAGTTCTAATCACTACTTCAATGTTCCGGAACTTTCCCTCTCAAACTCTATTTTTTCCAGACAAAATTTAATGACCTCATTAACCCTATCGGAATCTTCGCTACACCATGATACATTTATTCATCCTTAATCACTCTCTTATGTATAAGTATATCAATATCTGTAATAATGTTGAATTTTAAATATTTTAGGTTATAAGCAGCTGATGAGAACCTAACGAAATCAAATGAATTCATATTATTCTGCACCAATCTATGTGTATGAAATTGGAGAATAGATAACCTAAATGATGACTAGAACTTGAAGAACAACTCTGGAAAGCAACAAAACAACGATCCAATACTTCCTATACTAGGACGAAACAGCCATCTAGTGCTTTCAGGTTTCTCATGGTGGTCTAGCCTTAATTGATTCATGAAATCAACTATTAAGTTAAAATGTTGGTTTATTGTATAATTTGACAGGACTCGTTTCATTTTCTTAGTGAATTCACAATTATCTACTATAATTAGGCCAGATACTTCATCTGTACAACTTTCCATTTATCTGTTGTTTTCGATACAAAAAGTTATACTTTTCAAGTTATCTTTTTAATAGGTCAAATGAATATGGTGGGATTTCGGAAACCATTATAAAAGCGTTTCAATTTTTGTGGGCCATTAAAATGAAAGACAGAATGCCAGTCAGTAGACAATTCTCAATATGATTGATTAATTACTATTCACGAAACTATGTTATCAATGTGAGCCTTCAAATGAAATAGTATTAAGAATAATACAACTAACTAACTAACTAACAGAATAGATGTTACCTAGTGGAAAAATGACCTATTTACATAAAACTTCGTCTAAAGAATAGTCGATGGAAACACACAAGTTTTATAGATTACTCATTAATCAATAAAATGGTGAACTGACTCTTAAACTTAATCCTTGTGTCTTAGTGCACAAACATTCGAATTAGCTTTGAAGTATTATTTTCAAATGTCATATGATTAGATTCACTTGATGATGTGATTAACATTAAAAAGGAAATACATTTAAACAAAGTTAGTTGACATAGTTTTAAGTTCATTGTGATGGAATATCTCAGTTGTCAAGTTTTAATTGCAATTTTAAGTAATTATTTTTAACTAAAACTTTAGGCGAGACTATAATTTATGGATGAACCAATCAGATTTAAGATAATAGGTTTTGAGTTTTGGCGCGAAATTCACTCATCCATTTGGTTAAACACAGTTTTGGCATTATAGATGATGTCAGTTCGTGATGAAAACGGTTAATCTAATTCCTAACCCTAACCATCAACTGTAAGTTATAATTATAATTCATCACGCCGATTTATAACCTTCATTTAGTATGTAAGTGGACATTCTCAAGGTCTCTTTGGCGTCGCTCAAAGGTCGTCCATAAATTATAGTCTCACCAAACTTTAATTGTCAATCAGATTACTGTGAATAAAGTAACAAGATTATCTGTAAAAACGAGTGTAAGCTAGTAAAAAAAAGATGAATGTGTATTCTTATGGATTCTAATACATTCAGGAGATGATGTAAAGAACCAGAGAGGTTTAGATGTTAAGCGTTCGCTCGCGAGACTGATAGGTCTTGGGTTCGAATTTCGCAACGCGGGATCGTGGATGCACACTGTTGATGAGTCCCACAACGGAACTTAACGGCCATCCAGTGCTTCCAGGTTTTCTATGGTAGTCCAGCTTCAATTGACTCATGATCTCAACTATTGGAACAACCATAGAATACTTTAGTTAGACTTCTACAGATGGAATTTTAGTAGATACTACCAACTTAATTAATTAAGCCAGTACTGGTGATATGCGCAAGCATAAACCTTATCATTGTTCTCTGTTTTCTGTTCAATCGTGAAGGATAATATTCAGAAATGTGATAATGAGTTTGATTGGTTACAAGCTGAATTTATTTACTATCACAAGAGTAAATGAATTGTTTCTTTGTGCACTTTGTTCGTTTGTTTTTTTTCTTTTAGAAAAACAAATGTTATCAGTAAAATTAGTGTCTGGATATTTTTGCTAAATCTTGGATAATTATATTTGCTCTTAAGTTAATTATAACAATTATGAATACTATAGTTTCACAGTATTCGGGCGCCAAGTTGATGTGAGACATTAAAGAGAGAGAAGGTTGTATTTGTAAAATCTCAGCGAAAGAATTTGAATTAAATCCAGCGGTTTTTCAAGGAAATATCCTTGAAAAAGCTTGAACCAGATTGCCAGACGAAATGTTGGATTTGCTTTAAATTCTTTTGCTTAGACTACAAATGCATTCTTTTTCTTTAATTATGAATACTGAATAATGAACATATTACTATATTCAAGTGGTTTAGTATAAACTCTTTTTTATAACACAATTTTAGGTTGAATGAACTTAAGTAAACTGTTTTTATAATCGATTAATCATTGGGTAACGATCAATGTCATGTGTGTCAGGTGGAATTCTATTGACCATGTTGCAATTCGGCCACTAGTCTAGGTGACTGGACATCGCGTGCATTATGTAGAGATGAGATGGTGGCTGGAGGTAGTAGACAAGAAATCTTGTTTAGAAAAATTGATCATTATATTACACATTACTTTTCTTTGAAGAAAAGATGCATAAAAATAATCTGCTACATGAACCTACCGGAACAATTGTGTCCAACTCGAGTCATTACTTGACGTAGTTCTGACGCTGTTATGTAACCATCATTATCCTGTAAATGCGAAATAAATTATGTATAATTCAGTTGTAAGTTTCCTTCCGTTGTCAGTATTCATAAAGGCAACTGATAGGTCTCCTTTAAGTTATGTATACAACCTAGCTATTGCCATTAGTTAAAGGTATTTTTAAGCGGAGATGGATAGACGCTATCAGTAGGATCTAGAACATATAATTCGTTTTATTTGGGTTTCATCAGAGGGATGTAACTGCGTCCTAGTGTTGATCCTTACTCTGGAACCCAACGGATAATGCATCTGGTGTTTGAAATGAAAGACATTGGATGTTAGTACTGTATTAAGCTTTAACACAGGTGGATGAAAGTGTATCCAGCTGAAGAGTTTCGAACAGGGACAAACGCCCGTTTCTGATTCCACTACTAGCCACTATCCATCTTTGCTTAAAAAAGCCAATTGTCTGTTTAGAAAAGAGCCAGATATTCGGTCACATCATATTATTCATTTTTTGATTGTTTTCAGCAAATGTTAGGAATTTTCTGAAACTAATTTTTATCGCGGGGAAGAAATTAAAAAAATAACTGAACTCATCAACAAGTTCAATATCTTCTGGTTTTTAAAACCTCTTCAATCTGCATTAACCGATGCCAAAAAAATATTTTCAAAGTTAAAATTAACTTGACAAAGTGATTAGTTACAAAAAAAATACTGGAAATTCTGATATTTAGTTGTTACTAGTAGAGTTCATTCAAAGGAGTAAGACAGTAAGACGTTATTATATTAGATGATTGTAGCCGTATATCTAATGACTGATGTTAGGACTATAAATCAGTAGATTCGATTATCATGTCTTGATGTTAAGCTCTCAGCACGACATCTATAGATCTGAGTTCGATCTCTGTTGTGGCCTTGGATACGAAAGTTGACAGATCATGCAATGTAAGCTAATCACTGTCGGGTAGAGACAGATATCTACCTCAGTACAATCGAAGATGGTCGCGCAATTTTGTTGATTGGTTGAGGCTAGGTAATAACACCGTTGGATGCCGGCTCAGTGATCTAGAGGTTAAGCCTTCGCACGCGAGACTGAAGGCCCTGGGTTTGAATCTCGCGAGTCACACATTAGGACGAAACGGCCATTCAGTGCTTGCAGGTTTTCAATGATGGCCTAAAATAAACTGGTTCATGAACTCAATCAAAGTATTTTAATTATTATACTTTACATGAGAGTAGAATATCCATTGACACAGTTATAAAATTATTAGGATTTACCGTATCGAATACTTCAAATGCTTCACGTGTTGCTGAAACTTCTTCATGAGCATCACTTTCATTGGATAACAGGCGAACAAATTCATCAAAAGCCATTTCACCATCACCTATATAAGTAAATGGAGAGAAAATTATATTGTTATAACCAAAAAATGTATATTCATATGAACAGAGGTTAGTGAAATCTTGAAGAATAAATTGTACAGTTACAAATTACGAACATGTAAATGTTATGAATTGTTTGTTTTTCTTTCATTCAGTTTATTGATTGGTACTTAATAGTCAACCATTAGAAGTGTTACTCTGTGGTTTATGATATTTAGCATAAAATTTTTTAAAATTAAATCGATAACATTTCACAGATTTATTGGTTGTTATGGTGATAAAGTTTATTTTTTAAAATATACCTTCTAGAAATTATAAAGATATGAGTTTATTCAATTACCGATCGACGAATGATCAATGAAGGCTGAATAGTTTTTTAGATAGCTAGTTCTTATTTAAGGCCTTACTATGTAACGTATTAGGAGAGCTGAATGGTTTGTATTCCGTCTTTAAGCTACGCGGCTAATAAGGCGTATGTGTAAGTGAATAAGTGGATCATTTGGTTAGCTAAGGTATTAAGGATGAAACGCCAAAATTCAACCACATATTTCTGTCAATTTGGTAAATCATAAATACACATAAGTTATAAATACTATTGCTCGGTATGTTTCGCATGATTCTCGTGCAGTGTTGATCTTCTCTTTCTACTTTATTGGTTGATCAATTATTAGGAATAGGAATTGTAACTTAATCAAACGTCAGAACTTAAGACTATTTACTTAATCTCATCAACAGAAGTCAGTTCGTCATTAAAATCTGTTTAAATTATACAAGTTTCTCTGTAGAACACTAGTAAATTGTGAGAAGTAATTGATTCAGTACAGTTAATATCAGCCAATCACAATCGAGGTCACTGAGAGGATATTCCATTACTATTTCTGAAAACTCCTATTATTAGTACTCATCAATACAAACAGGGAACATTTTATTGTTCAGGCTCATTGATCGTATTAAAAATAGAGGTGTATAGTTCAATTCATTTTTGATGGGGTTTTGTTCTCTGAGCTGGATGGTTTGGTAAAAACTCCATCAAAATCATCCACCTGAGCTTCAAATCTTCTCCACTAACTCATAGTTCAATTCAACTAATTAACTTTTATTTTTTTTAAAACGACAAATTATAGTTTACTTACCATTCATATCTGCTTTATTCATTAACAATTTGATTTGATTATCCGTATATTCCGAACTGACAAGACGTATCAACGTACTAAATTCTTGTCTGCTCACTGTACCGTCATTGTCTCGATCGATAAATCGAAATATTTCTCGCAGTTCTGTAAAATATCAGTAATAATGAGATGAATCGGAAGTATTGAATAAGTTACGTGTTATGAGAATACCCCCAAATGCCGTGCTACGGCCGAGAGTGGGGAAAGTCAGCCCTCCCTCACATGGCCACGTGCATACAACCACTTTCAAAGAAGTCCAACTCACTGCCTTCTCGCACCATGGGTGTTGTTTACAAAATTGAGAAGACGAAAAGCGAATTTCCGGCGCTTAAATTGGGTTGGCGGGTATGGAGAAACCATCTAGAGGATTTGGGAAACCCTGATCCCACATCAGTGGTGCACATGGACTCCGTGATTCTGAAGGAAAATATGGCGTATGAATCTATTGTTGGTCACCAGATACCATGGGCCTGCATCTCTTGACGTTGCTCCACTGCCTTGTGAACCAGACCTTTAGGTCGAAAGTTCCGGGTGTGTCCCCCTAAGAAAACTACCCGCTTCGATTTAGACACCCGGGCAATATCCGAGCCCTCACACAAATCGAATGGTTTATGTGGCGCATATCCATTTAGTGCCTCCTTATACCAATATTTATGTGTTTAAATAAATAAATCTGAGAATATATTAGTATATAAACTGATTTGTGGAGAAAGTAGAATCCAAACCGAGAGAAGAGTACATGTTTGCATTTCTGAGCATGTTCCAAGTAAATTAAGGCTGCGGGGGGACTATGGCTCTCAGTAGTGCAATAGCTCAGCATTTACTTGACACCGGGTATACCATTGATATCTCTCAGGCTTTTGAAATTATTAGCAGACCAAGAAGTTCGTCTGCTCTCCGTGTTGCTGAAGCGATCGCGATAAAAAACTTAAACCGAATCTATGTATTCAAAAAAAGACAGTAATTGACTTATTACTACCCTGGTAATCCATTTTGTTTGTGTGTGTTTATTGTTTGTTTTTGTCTTTGATTATTAGTTTCATTCCTCTCTCATTACCGAATTCTTAAACGACCCTTTCACGCACACATTTCCGTTCACTTGATTCTCTTAAATTATGTGAACTCTTCAGATTCTATTGAATTATTACGTAACCTATCTTATCAATTTTTTAATTCCATGATACTTTTATTACCTCTAAAATTATCACACAATTTATCTTATCTGTCTCTGAACTCCATTCAACTATTACACCACTCATCCTTAATTCTAACACCAAATAATATATATATATATATGGCGTATGAACATACTGTTGGTCACCAGGTACCATGGGACTACATCTCTTGACGTTGCTCCATTGCCTTGTGAATCAGACCTTTAGGTCCAAGGTTCCAGGTGTATCCGCCTAAGAAAACTGCCTGCTCCATTGATAACCTTTGTCATTCCATTCCTGTAAATTCACTTATGTCAAGTGATTAAACACTATATCTTACCTCAATGTAAAATTCTAATACATATTTGGTTGTAAACAGCTGACGGGAAACCATGAAATATAATGAATTTATCTTATTCTACATCCATATTCGTTCCGACTTTATTTAAATTCATAAAGGGAACTAACTGCATGAAAAAAACATTCAGATCTAGAAGTTCAGTGGTCTAGATTAACAACTCTGGTAAATTTGTAATAAGTCATCGGGAATATTTGTTCAACCAATCATAAGTTCTCAACAACTGAAAATCTCAGGAATCTATTCAGAAGTAGGTTCCTAATCTTTAGTTAATATTAGTTCATGATGAATGTTTTCAAGATTTAGAACTACACAAGTTACATTCTTTAGTCTACTTTTTTTATTCAATCAATAAAACAGAACAAGCTATGAAAACTGAAAGTTTATTTGATGCTGTTTTATATTAAAATCAAGAGAAATTATACTCAAATCTAGTATCTACATTGAAAAGAATTTTAGATGAGCACTGTTAAGGAGTCCCACAATAGGACGAAACGGCCGTCCAATGCTTCTAGGTTTCCAAAGGTGGTCTAACATCAATCGGTCGATGATCTCAATCAAAAAACTTAATAAACTCCACAACCCCTATACTAGTAATTTTAGAATAATAAAAATTTTGACAGGGTTTTATTCTTTAAGCTGGATGGTTTAGTCATGGAACTTTCATTGTTTCATTTAAAGTTGAAATGAATATTTTTTTGGCATTGTAATGTATTTTTCTTTTGTATGGAAATATGTTTGTTTAGTATGTTACATAATAATTTTGATCAAAATAATTAATGTTTACTTTCAGAAACAGAATAATAGCCAATAGCTTTTGTAATAAGTGTAAGATTAAATTCAATTCAAAATAATTTGACTTAACCCAACGAAGATTGATCAAATTGAAGTTAGAAAAATTAGCAACAGGATAATACAAATCATCTTGAATTGGACTAGATCTCATGCCTGATGCAAAAGCGAATGATTATTCGAACATAGTAGCTAAGTGAATAACGTGATAGTGTTTGAAACAAATGATCTTAAGTTCTAGTTCTGGAATGAATATCAACTCTGAAGTGCAGATATATCCAACTGACGTGTCCTATATAGTACAGAATGAACGTTCTAGATCTATCTGTTAACTACATCATTCAAGTTTAATGTTAGAAATCCTTAAAAAACAGTGGCATTTCACGATCAATAATAATGGATAGGTTATTCAGGATAATTGATATCGATTATAATGTTAGCTGTATTGTTTTGAAGTTGAGATAACTGTTTTAGCAGCGTTCTTTTTTAAACTGTTTTAAAACTACCTTTCAAAAGAACCATTATATAACAATGTATAGCCTATCAGATATTTATGTCAAATTCAAATGTTTCAACAGATTTGAGTACGATTACCAGATTATTACTTATCAATGTCATTTAGTTTCTAGATTGAACAGCAATTCCAATAGTTGAGATCATGAGTCAATTGAAACTGGACTACCATGGAAACGGTCGTCTAGTGCTTCCAGGTTTTCCATGGTGGTCTAGCTTCAATTGAATCTTGATCTCGACTATTGAAATTACTACAGTATCCACAAAACCACTTTTGAATAACAATTATTCATAGAAATATTGGAAGCTAATTACAACCTGATAAATTATTCAGAAGTGAACAAATGTGCATTCATACCAATCTGATGTTTTATGATGAGAATCAGATATGGAACTCAATAAATTAATCAGTGTTGTATAACATCTACTTAAGTTTAGTTTTTGCGGCATATCTGTTAATTTATGGATTCAGTAGGAAGTAACCCTTTCAAGGTTACTAGTAGTACCAGAGTTCGTCAATTTTGTTACTATGCCGCCAATTTATTAGTCAGTAGTCTCTAGACCCGAAATTACCCAACAGTTATACCAAGTTGTTCTTTATCTCTTAAACTGAGAGATATCTCAAATAGTTCGCTACTAGAAACTTTTTATTCAGTTCGACCGTGAGGAAATCGTAAAACAGTTAACTGTTTTAACAGATATTATTCTGCCTTTAAAATCACACTACTGTTAAGCATGTAAGTAATATAAAACGATGAAAGCACACAACTTACCACTAATTCTTTTTCTAGTTACATGACAATCTTTCTGTTGAAGTAAAATAAAGATATAAAAACACCTGATTATTAAATTCTTTTAAAGTGAAAAATAGTTCTGAAAAACCTTAATCAGATGAGATGTCGTTCTAAAATATTAAAGAGAAAGAAATATCCTGATACTGTATTACTATTCCACGATCATATGTGAGCAGTTTAAAACTTGTATATGCTAAGTACAAAGAATTAGTTGAAGTTTGACATTAACACCGTTGGGCGCAGACTCAGTGGTCTAGTGGTTAGGCGCTCGCGCGCGAGACTGATAGGTCCTGGGTTGGAATCTCGTGGATACGCACTTCTGAGGAGTCCCACAATAGGACGGAACGGCCGTCCAGTGTTTCCAGTTTTTCCATGGTAATCTAGTTTCAATTGACTCATGATCTCAAGCAATGGAAAAATCCTTCTTTCATTGATAAAGTGCAGTGTGGTAATTGGAACACGTGAAATAATTGTACACAATACTCAAAATTATGTACATTTAAGAACTGACTCACTAAACGATCAATTAGCAATAATTGATATGATACTTATCTAATCCGATGTGTTGCTTGGGTTCTATCGATCATGTTATAACGCGATGGCTGATCGTAGTAACACAAAATTACACCAAACGTTTTAACCAATAAAGTGAGAGTTTAGAAAAATCCAAACTGTTTGTCAAGGTTATTGTTGAAAACTACTAGGATATAGTGGTTTCGAGAAGTTTTCTAGTGTTCCAAGGCCTAAACCAATATCTAAGACCAAACGGGTTTTTTCTTTATTTCTTTTTCATGACATTGTGTTATCGTGTATAAAATCTTTTCTAGGAAACCTGACGAGAAGCTAAGGAGATGAAGTTACTGGATAACAATCTGATAAAGTTATGAAAAGAAATGGTAATACATATTCTTAAGTTTTTAGATCCTCATGTGGTGTGAGCTACTTATATTGATATAAGTAGTATATAACGTGCGTTAAAAGAACGTAATGTCCGGCAGCAGAAGATGGCGAAGATCAAGAAAGGAAGAGCAAGAACACAATGCAATTGTAAGAAAACGCATGTACAATGGAATGGGAGACAATGGATTAGTGTTTGCAACGGGAACAGTACAGTTTGATATGATGGAATGATATTTTGCAAATTGACGATTGACTTTATGGTATTCACATTATATTGAGATAGTCTGTAATTTTTGTGCCAAGTACAGTCGATTGTCCCCACCCGTGTTCTTGTTCACTACACTCATTGTAATGTGAAATGTCAACTATATAATGAGTTGAAAGTTAGCATCGTCAAAATATGCTTTCGAATGAAAACTCATCGATTTGTATGTACGGCATAAAATCTACATCACCAACAGTAAACATTGGATATTTTTCTTTCTATAATGAAAATTCCTACCCACAATAATGAAAAGAATCTTTTCATACTAGTTTTCGGTATTCTGTGAAGTGTGTTAAGATGTCTTTACTATACCTCTTCTAGAGTACATGATAAGGCTATTTAATTTGTGGATTTCGTGTAGTCCCCCCCCGAAGTTGTATAATCATTCGATTATTTCTAACAGATAATGAAATGTACACACAAATACATGTGTCAAGTAAATGATAGTAAATATTCCTTGTCAGTTCTCCAGTTCGTAGAATGTTTCAGTGCTATATGTATTTAACATTTACACTTTTAATAAAAATAATATATTTGTGATATCCCAATGAGTAGAAAATTGGATTTATTTATTGTTTCGTGACTTAGTGTAAGTCACTTCTTCAGAGAATAAAACCACTTTTATTTGTTAAAGTGTTTAAACCGTATATTACATCAAAATTTAAAGAGTTTTTAAAAGTTTTCTCTTAATTACAGATTGATATCAAATGATAAATGTTCACTGAAAACTATACAAAACCTATACAATAGGTTCATATAGCAATTGTTCCCTGAAGATCATGTAGTCCATGTACACCATTGGTTTGGAATCAGGGTTTACCAACTCTCCTAGATAGACCCTCGGTGTATACCAACCCGGTCAGAGCGCCAGACATTCGCTTCTCGTGCTCTTAATTTCATAAAGAACACACCCATTGAGAGAAGGCAGTAAGTTGGACTTTCTTGACAGTGGTTGTATACATGTGTTTGTGTGAGGGCACTTGAAGAGGGATAGCGGATTCTCCCCACCCTCGACTGCAACAGGGCATTTGTTCAACTTAATGCATCATTCATATTATAAGTGAAAGTTCAATATTTTTTTTGGTCAGTTAAATATCAGTTTAACTAAATAGACTATAATTCAATACTTCACTGTTCCATAGCTACTAACTTTGAAGTCAATATTATTGTGGGTATTGGAAAAATTTACTGCGTAGGATGCCAACCGATAACAACAAATAGAAACAATGTTGATGACGGTAGAATTACATATATATTCTGAATTAATTATTGTTGGTACATGTAAATGATACTATTTAACCAACTAACTATATAGGAATCAGTCACACTAATCAACAGCGATTTTTTCTAGATTCAGTATCATATACAAGTAAATGACTTATACATATATACTACTGAATAGCTTTAAGCAACTTGGATGAGACTACTTATTCAGTCTTATATTAATATTTATGATGAAAATTCTCTTTAAATCAATTAAATCTTTATAAACTTATCAGTTGAATGATATTCTATATTATATGTTGTGAATACCTACTTCATTGTTAATAAACAGAAAATGAAGTCAATTTTTTGTAAACAGTTTAAATTATAATAATGAATCAATTGAAGTTAGACATCAACATCGTTAGATACCGGCTTAGTAGTCTAGAGATTAAGAGTTCGCGCGTGAGACTGAAGTTCCTGGGTTCGAGTCATGAATACAGGATCGTGGATGTGAACTTCTGAGGAGTCCCACAAACAGGACGAAACAGTACTTCTAGGTTCTCATTAGTGATTTAGCTTATATCAACTCATGAATTCAATTATCATAATGAGTTATGACCTATTCAACAAGACATTAATTCTAGAACAATATATATTTGCACACATACAAATGTGTACACTTTTTACTTTATTTAAAACTTATAAATTAAATAGCTTTATGCATTGGTAATTATTATTTTTACACTGAATACAGTTTCAATTCTACATTTGAGACTTTAATTAATTTTCGTTGAAAAAAAAAAGTTTCGAATTAAATACATCCTATTGGCGAATTAAACTTCAGCTGTAGCTCTTCTTAGAGTTACTACCATTCCCAAGCTCTAATAAATGAGGAGGGTTGGGCATAAGGTCAACAACCTCATTCTATAGAAAAACTCTTATTAAAAAAAAGAGAGAAGAAAACGCCAATCAGATTAAACAAAAGTAACTAAGGGATTAATAATGTTTCTTATATATATATATATATTATTCATTAAAGTATTACACTTAACATTAATTGCGTGATTATTATTAGTAGTAGTATAATCAATACTATAATATTACAATCAATGTAGATATCATCATTGAATGGTAATAATTATTATTCAATATTCATTGTTTATTTATTAAAACTAGAAAAAAATAAACAAGAAATTATGAAGGTTAACATAATAGACATGAAAGAATAAAACAAAAAAAAAGAGAGTAGATATATATTTGAGTGAGTGGATGAATGAGTGAATGAGTGAATGAGTGAATGAGAGACAAAGAATAAGAACAAAACTGTATCATTGAACTTATATATTCCTTAAAAAAATATGAAATCTTTAGCATAAATTATAAATCTATTATATTTATATAGTCAAAAGTTACACCCAACATGAATGAAAAAGTTTTATTTTTAAGAATAAAGAAAAAAAGAAAAGAATCAAATTATAGAAAGAAAGAAAGAAAGAAAGAAAGAAATGAAGAAAGAAAAAAAACAAACAATAAAAGTCAATTTATTTTCTCTAAATTTTATTTCTAAAAAAAAAACTTACAAATTACATGTACTTTTATTTCATTTAAAAAAAATAAATAACTAAAACAAGGAGGGAAAAGGTAAAATGCTTTTTTTTTGTTTTAAGTGGGTGGGTGGGTGGGTGGTTGGTTGGTTGGTTGGAGGGACAGTAGGTGGGAACAGGAACAAAATAATTCTTTGTTATTATAAATAGAAAAATAGAAAGTATTTAAATTATGAACTAACTAAGTACAGCATGAAAAAGTTAAACACAAAAAAAATGGGTTTTTCGGAGGGAGGGGAAGAAAAATTGATTCCTAAAATAAATAATTTAGATGAGGAATTTATACCCAATTGAATCTATAATAATTCATCAATTCAATTACGAACTTTGTGTACAAGAAAATATCACGTTCACTCCCTTATTTTTCTATGGTAATTATTATCTGCCACTTTTTATTCTTTCTTATTTAGTAGACAGCCTCTTTAGCTTAAGCTTAACTTAAGCTTTTGATGATTGTTAATCACTTTAATAGTTGATTTCATGAGTCAATTAAAGCTAGACTGCTATGGAAAACCTGAAAGTATTGGCAAGCCGTTTCATCTTAGTATGGGACTCATCTATAGTACGTGTCCACAATTCTGCATGCGAGATTCAGAACCTTCGGTCTCGTACAAACGCTTAACCTCCAGATCATTGAACCGGTATCCATCTAAGTTAATCACCAACTTCAACTAATCCATGATATTGCGCGACCATCTTCTAATGTCTTCAGTCGGTAACTGCCTCACATTCGACACCGTTCATTTCCACTGGTCACGGCTTCTCACTAGAAATCCGAGAATTCTATCTTGAAGCCAGTCACTAGTGAGCACGTCATAATTGTCAGTTGGTAGTTGTGTAGATTATTATATATGATTGCTTGTGGTTGTATAATTTTTAAATAACTTTCATAACCTCAAATTAAATATTATAATCTTACTTGGTTGGGGAAAAGTTTTGACGCATTTTTTAACAGACTAATGAAGTTGATAGTGAATTATCTTCTTGTTAAAGGTAAATGATATTTAAATTCTAAGGTACTAGGTGGTTGATGTTCGTCAACAGCAAACCCTACTTGACCTGAGTTCTGTGTTATTCAACACTCATTTCCAAGACCCATCTATAATCTTGAGGGAAATGGTACTCCAGGATTACGCACACACTACATCCAAACATTTATTATGTAGGCAGAGTGCAAATGATTTCTAAGCATTTGGACAAATGACCACATTTTAGCTTGATCGATAGATTTCTACCGGTACTAAAAGACTAGACAAATATGGCGATCGTTACTACTCAACAATCATTCAACTATAAATTCAAGAGTTTATGAACATGTCATGAATTTTTTTAGAAACTTTATCTTCAATAATGTGTTTGTATATCCTTCGACATCTAGTTTGATTACTCTCTTACAACTTGGATTAATCCACAGAATGTATATACATAGAGTGCGAATATGTATAATCATCACCATCATTCATTGTTACCTGGGTCAGCATTCATTTCACTCAGAATCTAACTCAATAAAAAGTCTTACCTACTCAATTAGAACTCTGTAATACCTGACAGGAATCAGGTTACTATTAAGCATTGAATTCACATGGATGAAATGTGTAGACAGCATATTTTTCCAGACTGACTTGCTAACAAGTAATCCTACGCTCAAGCATCCAATGAAGAAGAGAGAACTTACTAGGAAAGAGTATATATATATAACTTAGTAATTTGGTTATCTACGTTAGTAAAGTAGTTTAAACTATTGACTTTGTAAATTACATAATTATATTAAGTCATCGATTGATCAGTGCCTACTACTGTATAGTTCAAAGTAATCGAATTTGACAGTTGACTAGAGAAGAAAATGACATAAATTTGTGTATTTAGATATAAATCTTCATTTGCACTCTTGTATTCTCTCTTACAACGCGGTGTATCAATCTCCGTTGGATTACAACAAGTAGCAAGTATCAGTTTCAACTAGCTACACCAGTGTTACTTAAATTATTATTATTATTCTATTCTAGCTAATTGTTTGATTAGTGTATTATTATTACTGTGGTGTATGCTACATAATGATGATAGATTTAAGTAGTATGTAACACCAATCAGAAGTGGAATGTTTGTCAAAAGAAGATTGAACTGAAGAGAACATAAAGGAATTGGAATAAAGACAGAATCAGAAGAATCATCAAGGATTTAAGGGAAAATTGAAACATGTGCAAATAATGTACTGAATATATGATTTTCACATTTTACTAAACCTCTGTATGATTGTACGGTAAACAATAAATGGGTCTTTCTCCACCTAAGTCCTCGTTCACTACATTACTACATCTACTTCTACAACTAATAACAATGATGATAAAACTCCGACTATTAATTCGATCGGTTCGTTTGATACAATACGTTTCTTATCAACAGAGAAAAATATCAGAAAAAAAAGTATTTTATTATTTATCATTTTGATACATTTGTCTATCTTGAGATGTCAGATGGTCGATGGAAGTCAGAAGGAAACTTTGGACAGGGGTTTCATGCTAGTTGACACCTGATAGTAAGGTAAATTTGTAACGTTGTGGGAACTGATGCTTTCTGTAGAAATTAAACTCATGTCACACAGCTTCATATTTCATGACATTACTGATGAACTTTTCGGGCCTCAATTGGTCTCCTATAGGCTGAGGTATTCTCAGGTTACTCTCAAACTGCAAAGAATAGTGTTATAGGTTCTAATCCTTCGATAAGTACCAGTTCCTCCGACATTGCAGATTTAACTTCCTGATGAATGCGGAATAATATGAAACCGTGGTTCAAGATTTTCTGCCGACTATCTCAAACGAAATAAAGTCAAAACATATCACGCGTCATGGTGAGTCACTTGGATTGCTGGTCAAATTGTAATTTGATCAGTAGAATTTACTTAGTATTAGGGGATTAAGTAAACATGACATTGGTCACTAATCGGTGATGAGTAACTTTGAAAACTTAAGAAATCCGTTAAGTTCAGCCACATATATATGTGTAATATACATAGAACTGAGGATGTTCAAAATAAAATTAAACATTTTTTTCAGTATTTTTATCGTAGATACAATAAATTATGAAACACATTGACTGAAATGACATGACATTGATTTATTCAGACCTGTTTTCTTGGATTGATCGCACATAATATTTTTGTTGTTCCGTTTGTACTATTTAAACTTGGATTGATTTTGATTTGGTTATTTATTTATTCTCTGAAGAAGTGGCTTACACTAAGTCACGAAACGTCAGAAAATCTAATTTTTCAACTTATTGGGATATTACAAATATATTATTTATTTATTCATAACAGTCTATCCAATCTTCAATTTATTCGGACTTATCAAGTCGAACCTTAGTTATGATACCTAATTTACCATTTAGATGTCGACATTTCTAATTTTAACTAATTTATGGTTTTGATTCAGATCACAAATCAATCTAAAGTTTGATAAACATTACAAAACTATACAAAAAAGAAAGTTGTTTCATCCCAGTAAGGGACTTCTTAGCAATACGCATCCATGAATTCATCTCAGATCAAGGATATCAACTTCAGTCCAGTATGCGGTCAATACTAAGATGAAACAATTGTCCAGTGCTTCAAACTTTCTAGTGGTTATCTAACTTGAATCAGTTCATGATTCCAACAACAACAAAAATCCATGAGTCTCTACGACTTCCATATTCATATTTTATGTCAGTTTTCAGACTCAATGTCAGTTCATAATGAAAATCAATCCCAAACTGAATGAATCTCGTAAACTTTCATGTTGGTTACATTATTTATCAATGAATTTCATTAAAACAAAACACACTCTATTAAGATAATCTTTATAATCATATGAATTACTGTATAAAATTAAATTCTTTACTTACCATTAATTTTTCATCATCTTCACTAGTTTCCACATCGATTTTACTTCCTCTTGGACTATTCATCTATTGTGGAATAAAATATGAAACAGAATTGACAAAATGATTCTTACATTAAATAATCTTTTTTCCTTTCGTTTTGTTTATTGTTATGATTTTCACACTGTTTAATTAGTTCTTTAATAAGGAATTATTATTATGATAATGATGATGATGAGGATGGTGAATTATTCACATTAGAGATGAGATATTGAACATAGAACTGAGTTCGAATAAATTCATTTCAGAATATAAATGTACGTGTGTATCCATAGTGATGTGTGGGAGTTATTTTTTTATTTGGAAATATTGTAAAGGAACGAATTTGACTGGTTAATTCGATGTTAGATGATGATGGGCAATTATTCATACTGTGTCAGTCAGTCAATCTCTCTATCTATCTATCTATCTATCTATCTATCTATCTATCTATCTATCTATCTATCTATCTATCTATCTATCTATCTATCTATCTATCTATCTATCTATCTATCTATCTATCTATCTATCTATCTATCTATCTATCTATCTATCTATCTATCTATCTATCTATCTATCTATCTATCTATCTATCTATCTATCTATCTATCTATCTATCTATCTATCTATCTATCTATCTATCTATCTATCTATCTATCTATCTATCTATCTATCTATCTATCTATCTATCTATCTATCTATCTATCTATCTATCTATCTATCTATCTATCTATCTATCTATCTATCTATCTATCTATCTATCTATCTATCTATCTATCTATCTATCTATCTATCTATCTATCTATCTATCTATCTATCTATCTATCTATCTATCTATCTATCTATCTATCTATCTATCTATCTATCTATCTATCTATCTATCTATCTATCTATCTATCTATCTATCTATCTATCTATCTATCTATCTATCTATCTATCTATCTATCTATCTATCTATCTATCTATCTATCTATCTATCTATCTATCTATCTATCTATCTATCTATCTATCTATCTATCTATCTATCTATCTATCTATCTATCTATCTATCTATCTATCTATCTATCTATCTATCTATCTATCTATCTATCTATCTATCTATCTATCTATCTATCTATCTATCTATCTATCTATCTATCTATCTATCTATCTATCTATCTATCTATCTATCTATCTATCTATCTATCTATCTATCTATCTATCTATCTATCTATCTATCTATCTATCTATCTATCTATCTATCTATCTATCTATCTATCTATCTATCTATCTATCTATCTATCTATCTATCTATCTATCTATCTATCTATCTATCTATCTATCTATCTATCTATCTATCTATCTATCTATCTATCTATCTATCTATCTATCTATCTATCTATCTATCTATCTATCTATCTATCTATCTATCTATCTATCTATCTATCTATCTATCTATCTATCTATCTATCTATCTATCTATCTATCTATCTATCTATCTATCTATCTATCTATCTATCTATCTATCTATCTATCTATCTATCTATCTATCTATCTATCTATCTATCTATCTATCTATCTATCTATCTATCTATCTATCTATCTATCTATCTATCTATCTATCTATCTATCTATCTATCTATCTATCTATCTATCTATCTATCTATCTATCTATCTATCTATCTATCTATCTATCTATCTATCTATCTATCTATCTATCTATCTATCTATCTATCTATCTATCTATCTATCTATCTATCTATCTATCTATCTATCTATCTATCTATCTATCTATCTATCTATCTATCTATCTATCTATCTATCTATCTATCTATCTATCTATCTATCTATCTATCTATCTATCTATCTATCTATCTATCTATCTATCTATCTATCTATCTATCTATCTATCTATCTATCTATCTATCTATCTATCTATCTATCTATCTATCTATCTATCTATCTATCTATCTATCTATCTATCTATCTATCTATCTATCTATCTATCTATCTATCTATCTATCTATCTATCTATCTATCTATCTATCTATCTATCTATCTATCTATCTATCTATCTATCTATCTATCTATCTATCTATCTATCTATCTATCTATCTATCTATCTATCTATCTATCTATCTATCTATCTATCTATCTATCTATCTATCTATCTACCAGAGAATTCTTTGACGTATTAACACCTAGCTACACATACATACAATGATAGTTCTTCATGTGGCTACAATGGAAACCGCAAATATTTCACATCAAAACTTATTACTTGAAGTTATATTCAATCAATTTTTAGTAATTTCGATTGTTGTGGTTAGAAACATTTCAAAATCAATGTTATTACTTAAATTAAGGTTAACAAACATGCATAAAGTTAACTCATTCAAATGGATTATACAATAGCAAATCGATTTATTAGTTCATGTCAGTTATTATTTCATTGTTATCATAATGAGAAAGTGATAACGCCCATAGTTAGGATAAATAAATCTGAGATTTAATTCATTTAATTTTATATGTTGCTATTTGGATTTGATTTTGCTTTTGTTTTTTCATACATTCTAAATCAGACGCCTTCCAGACTTACTCCATTAATAAAACACCTTTTGTGGTTATTTGAATATGAAATAAACTTTTTAAGGGAACTTAGTTAGATAGTAGGAAAATGAACAGACTAAATTTACAATAATAATAATAATAAACTGTAGATTGAAATAGGAATAAATTTTCATTTCTGTAGTTGAGATCATGAGTCGATTGAAGCTAAACTACCATGGAAAACCTGAAGGCACTAGACGACCGTTTTGCACTGTTGTCGGACTCCTCAACAGTGCGCATCCACCATACCGCCTCGCGAGACTTGAAACCATGGCCTACCGGTCTCGCGTGCGAACGCATAACCACTAGACCACTGAGTCGGAATCCAGAGGTGTTAATGTCTTAATTCAACTAGTCCACGAAATTAAGCGACACATCCACCATTTTCTTCAATGAGTTACTATCTCACAACAGACCTGGTTGAACTCCACTGGTCACTGCTTCTCACTAGAACTCCAGGAAATACCTCTTGAAGCCAGCCACTACTGAGCATATTCTGAATAATATCAGAAGAGGTTTTTCATTTGTTCATTTCCATTTGTTTACTATCTTTTTTTCGAAAAATATGCGTAATATCAATCTATTTTTATTGTACCCACGGCAACATATTCAGAAATACGGTTTCCATTAATTTTATAATACAGAATGATGAATCTTTTCCAAAATAAATTCTAAATTATTTCAAGTCAATATATTCAACTGTTTATATATGTAATGCAAAACTGATTAATGTAGCTTAGTTTATATGAAATTACTATGGAATAATGTAGAGTAGTTATTATAAGAAAAGGTAAATTGAAAATTACTAAATGAATGGTACATTAGTGAACATTTTACACAAAAATCAATAATTATAGAAGGAAATGTATATATGTATATAAAAGTAAAGATGAATGGTGGCTAACAGTGGAATCCAGGATTCACGTTTCGTCCTATTTGGGACTCGTCGACTTGGTGTGCCTGCACCTCAAAGTTGATGTCCACTCTGGGACTGTAACTCAATACCGTTCGCTTCAAACGCCATCACGTCATTCACTTAGCTACCGATTCCTGATAGCCACTTGCTTGTGCAATGGAGTGAACTTTAAATTTATTTGGTATTGTTTACCTGCATATAATGCTTGTGAATTAGGGCAATATCGAGGCAATACGCATAGTATGCACATATATCAATAAGAGACTGATCAATTACAGTCCTATACATCAATGAGAAGATTCAAGTGAACAATACCATGTGAATTTATATATATATCTTTAAATCAGAACTTAATTCACATAATTCACATAATTCAAATAATAATAATAACATTCATTGTAATAAGATAGTGCTTTGAGGTAGTCAACATGAAACCCTGGACCTAGGTTTCGTGCTACTTAGCACTCGTCAGCAAGGTGTACCTGTAATTTTTATGGAACTAATGCTACCTGATGGGTTTGATCCCGTATCACCCAGCTTTACAGTCAGAGACGTCACCACTGAGCTGGGTAACATGGAATCGAATTCGTCGGGGAACATCAGTTTCCTCAAGATTACAGATACACCTTGCTAACGAGTGCCAAGTAGCACGAGACCCGGGTTCAGGATTTCCTGTTGACTACCTCCAACAACCATCTCATCTCAACATAGTGCATGCAATGTCGAATCACCTAGACTACTGACCACATTGCAACTTAGTCGATAGCATTTGATCTACAATAACAAGGACCTGACACCTAGGACAACCAAGTAATCAATCAATTGTAAATTCATCATAATATTTTACATAGGTTACTTAAAGTGTTCAACGGTTCAGAGGATTGGTTCATTTTCGAGTATTTCTGTTAGGATATTTTTATAGAATATGTTAGAAGCTGTCAGTACGAAATTTAATTTATTCTGACAAAGAATTTAAGCAATTTGAAAATTCCAGTGGACTATTAATATGTCTTAAATTAGATGACGATTACTTCTAGCCCTTACTCACATATATTGATGCAATAACTTTTTTTGTCCTCTTAGCCTTGATTAAATCAAATACAGTAAGTTTAACTAGTTGTCTATAATGTTGCTGTGTCTACAAATAGTATTTACCAATGATCGTTTACCCATGGGGAAATCATTTATCCCTAGTCTACCAATCAAAACACTAAGAATGCCAGCTAAAAGATTATACTTTCATGTGAGTTTTTAAGCCTTAAGAAAAACCCTGAAATAAATAAGCATCACAAAATACATGAAGTTCTACGTGCCATATGTAAGTTATATGGTGTTGTCATATTACCAAGGTAATATGATAAAATCAAGGTATACAATCAGTTCCAGTTTCCTTTTAGAAAGTATAGGAGACTTGATGGTCTGTATTAGTTATGGCAATAGCTATCTCTCAGTAGACCCAACTTTCTTTTGAAAGGGTCGAAAGATGGAGCTTCAGTCACGTAATAAGGTAATGAATTTCATTTATTGACGACTCAGCAGTAAGTAGATAGTCAGCTGACAAGTAATTTGTTCTGGGTTTGTGACAATCTTTGAAGTGTTCTCATAAATTCTTGGTTTCAGAAGACATAAAATGAGGGCATATCAGATTCAAATTCTTCTATATGACAATGGAAATAGATTTATTTTAGCCAGTCATTCATCATAAGGATGATTTGCTGTCCTGTGAAT